GACGGGCACGACCACGGAGGCGCTCGGGGGTGTGGGGGCGGTTCCGCGCATGCGCAGATTCGGGAGGGTGGGTGAGGTCGCGTGTGGCCCGGCGCATGCGCAGATTCCGGCAGACGGGTGCTCTCAAGCGGCTCTGCGCAGGCGCGCATCCCGGCGAGAGGGTGAGGGCGCCCTGGAGCCCGCGCAGGCGCACATCGCAACTCGCAACAGGACCGTGAGGGCGCCGGGGGGCGACAATGGCGCGACCCGGTGGGTACGAGGCAGCTGAGCAGCAGCGGCAGCAGGTGCTATCCCGGCAGCAGGAGCGGCACTACCGGCTGCTGGCCGAGCTGCAGGCGCTTGTCAAGGCACTACCCAGGTGAGCGTAGCCCGAGGGGGGTCAGGGGCCGCTGCCGGTGCCGGCGCTGACCCGGTTTTTGCCCGCAGCGCCTGCCAGCAGCGCCTTTCGTACACGACGCTGTCCGAGCTGGCGCTGGCGCTGCTGGACGGGACTGTGTTCGAGATCGTGCAGGGGCTGCTGGAGATCCAGCACCTCACCGAGAAGAACCTGTACAGCCAGCGGCGGCAACTGCACAGCGAGCACCGCGGTACCGGGGGCACCGGGGGGGTAATCCCGGGACGTTGGGAGGGCCGGAGAGGGGGGTACTGGGGCGAAGGGCGCAAAGGTGGCCGTCTTGGAGCGCTGAAATGACAGAGGTGTTGGGCAGCACTGCAGGGGAGTGATGGGGACACTGCGAGGGGAGACGGCCCTGGGGCATCTCTGAGGTGAAGGGGAGGTTTGGGGGGCACGGGTGAGACGTTGGAGGGGCGGTGGGGGCCATTGGGGGGTGGGGTGTGGGCACTGGGGGGCAGTGACGGGGTGGGGAACGACATTGCCGGGGAAGGTTGTGGGACAGGGGAGGACACTGGGGTGACACTAGAGGGCACTGGGGGTCTGTGATGGGCACTGGGGGGTTGGGGATGACGCTGAGAGGGGCAGGYTGGGGAGGCTGCGGGGGTGGCATTGTAAAGGGAGGCATTGTTTGGGGGTCCTGGGTGTGAGTTGTGCGGGCACAAGGGAGCTACGGGAAGTGACAGTGGAGATTGTGGGGAGGGCACTGGGGGGAGGTGGGGGTGTCACTGGGGACAGCTGGCAGTAGCACACCCACCTGAGCCACCCGTGCCCACGGCAGGGCTGAAGCAGGAGTTGTTCCACCGGCACAAGGAGGCCCAGCAGTGCTGCAGGCCCCACAACCTGCCACTGCTCCGTGCAGCCCAGCAGCGTGAGATGGAGGTGAGGGGGCTGGGGGGGAGGTCGGGTACAGAGCTGTGTCCCTTCCCAGGGCTCTCACAGCYTCATTGCTGCAGGAGCACTGCAGCATCTACACACACTATCCCTGCCCTGCAGCCTCAGGGGACATCAGCTGTCCTGGCTGGCCTTGCTAGCACAGACCTAGGTTCCCCACCCCAGTTTGGAGGTCTCCTCTACTTGCTCTACCTATTGTCCCTCCAAGGGACCAGGTTCTTGCCATCCCAGGTGTGATCTGTAAATTGTGGAAGCTCAGGAAGCTCATTGCTCCAAAGCAATGCTCTCCGCAGTACTTTAATGATCCACCATTATCTGATGTGTTGAAGCCTCTATAAGACAGAAAACAAGTGATGGAAAACATGGAGAAGGCACCTGAGATCTGCCATGACATTGTAACAAGTCARAAGTAGACAGTACTCAAAATAATCACATTTTACTGAGTAGCACTGATATGSAGGAAACACCTCGAGTTTCATAATTATAGTAATAGTTTCTGAGAACATCCCAAGGCATTTAGAAAAGATTCAGTCCCAAAGGACTTCTGTCACCTGGTGATAGAGGCAGTTTTGTAAGATAAGAAAATATCAAGTAGCTGGTTATGTTAGTGCAGTTGAAATATGGGGGGAAGTTGCTTTGGTCCACATTAGGCAATGAGAACTGTTTCCTGCCTTGGCCCATGACAAGCACCATGTCAGTGCTCGCCGTTGGATCCCTTGGTGTTTCCACATTCCTCRTTTCCTGTCAAGGTGACTAAAGCCAGGCTAGACCTCTGGTARCTGTCCCTATTACTTCTGTCTCTGAGTAACTTAGACTTGCAGCAGTAATCTCTACTGCCTGTTTTAAACAGTATTTCATCAAATTGCCCAAATATGTCTCACTTCTCCTTGTCTTACATGCTGTGCAGCTTCGTCCTGCTTCCATCTACCTGCCCTGTGCCTTTCTTCTGTTTCCCTCTCCCAGCTATTAACAGAGTCACTTCTTCCCTTCTTCATCCTCTGGTGTTTCTGCTGTAGGGCATTTTGGGAACAGATTGTTCTGTCTGATATGCATCTAATTGGGGCTGCCCTCTGTGGTTAAGGGTTTCCATGACCAGCTCCCACAAGATAGCTTGGGRTTGGGCTCCCAGGACAGGTAATACAAGGTGTAGGTTTTAGATGTTTGACTTCTCAGTGGAACTTCTGGTGTTTAGAAAAGCTTAGCCCATCATACAGGATTAGTGGCTACAAGGGCTGAAGCAAAAYTTGTGCTTAAGCCTCAGTTTTGTCCAAGGTAAGGCACTTTTCTCTAAYCCAAAATTAAATGCCAGTGCTAAACAATGTGAGGCACTTAAATTTGGGGGTTTTTCAGGCCCAAAGAAAGTYTCTTCTCCAGCACAGTAAGTGGAGGAGATGATGGCACACTGATGTGGGTGAGAGGAGGAAAAATCTGRGGAATGAGGGATTTGAATCTGTTGTATCTCCCACAAATTATCTGAAACCCTAAACTGAAGAAAATGTGAGKACAGAGCTTGCTTAGGTTAATTCCTCAGCATCCTGTGATGAAGGAGCAGTCATCCGTCTGCCTTGCCTTCTCTTGAGTCTGGAGTTTTCTTGCGTTTCTCCCCATTCATTGCAATGGGATCCTGCCCTGAATGTTTTCTCTGGAGCAGCTCTTGTGTGGTCACCTTCTAGTTCTGCATCCTCCTTAATTACGGGTGGTTCTGTGAAAGGTTCWCACAATGTGCTCATTGTGGGCTCTACATCCAGAAGAGATTCTGAGAGGTASCTCCCACCCCATGTCAGTGATAACTGCTTTTTGTGAGGTCACACCTTTTGCAGAGAGCCATGGATACACCCTTGCTGCAGACACACCTCAGCCCTTTCCCAGACGATTCATGGCCAAGAGTTCTGTCACACAAATTCTGGATTTTCACCAGGAATTGTGGYAGGGTGATGTTCAGCTCTCCTCCAAAGCCTTTTTAACCACCAGCCACTAATGGAGGAAATCCTGGGATTTGTGACTTCTGCTTTTCTGTTAAGTGGGGATAGTTTAACCTCATGGATGTTTCAAGCTGAGCACATGCCTGTGTTCTCTGTTACAGAGGGACAGCATTGTTCAAGTAAATGTTGAAACTTGTGCCATTTCACAGAAGCATAGAATAAGCAGAGTTGGAAGAAACCTACAACGACCATCCCATCCAGCCCCTGTCCCTGCCCAGACCCCCAACAATCCCCCCTGTGCATCCCTGGCAGCGCTGTCCAAACGCTCCTGGAGCTCTGGCAGCCTCGGGGCCGGGACCATTCCCTGGGGAGCCTGGGCAGTGCCAGCACCCTCTGGGGACWGGAGAACCTTTCCCTGATATCCAACCTAACCCTCCCTGACACAACTTCAGGCCATTCCCATGGGTCACCACAGAGAACAGATAAGCATCTGCCACTCTTCTTCCCTTCTCAAAGAGGTTGTAATTTCATTGAGTCTCCCCTCAGTCTCCTCCAGCTGAACCGACCAGGTRTCCTCAGCTTCCCCTCAAAGCCCTTCACCATGTTCGTTGCCCTCTGGATGTTCTCTCATAGCTTATTTCTCTCTTATTTCTTGCAGGAGAACCAGAGAATCATGAAATGGTGTGGATTGGAAGGGACCTTTAAGTTTATCCAGTCCCACACTCTGCCATGGGCAGGGACACCTGCCACTATCCCAGGTTGCTCCAAGTCCCATGCAGCCTGGCCTTAAACACTTCTCTGTACAACCTTTGTCAGTGTGTCACCATCCTCACAGGGAAGAATTCCCTCTTAATATCTAATCTAATCCTGCCCTCTCCATTTGAAGCCATTCTCCCTTGTCCTGTCACCCCATCCCTTTTCCCAAGTCCCTCTCCAGCTCTCTTGAGGAACTGGAAGGGACTTTAAGGCCACACAGGGGCTCCAGCCCTTGGAGSATTTCCGTGGCCTCCTCTGGACATGCTCCAGGACCTCCACATCCTTCCTGTGCTGGGCCCCCAGGGCTGGAGGCAGCTCTGCAGGTGGGGTCTCACCTGAGCAGARCWGAGGGGCAGAATCCGCCCCTTCACCTGCCCACCCTAGAAGAATGAGTGTGAGATGAAATCATCATGAGATTTGATGATTCCTGGTATTCCCTGTGGCTTGCAAAGCAAGTCTGCTACTCAGTGCAGCCTGGTGAGGGTGTATTACCTCTGCACACRCAGGGCTCTTGTGCTGTGCTCTGTTTGTCCCCTGCAGTCCTGCTCTCTGCTTCCACTCCTGATTTCCAGCGTGCCTTTGGCATCTACATTTGCTGGGCTCCACTTGTTCTCTGGAGGCAGCACAGAGACTGCTGAAGTTTGGGCAGATGTTGGTGAGGCAGGAGTGGCCATGTCCTTCTRGTTGGGGCTATTCTGGCAAAGTTGTTCTTTGATAATGTTCTCARTCTGTCAGAAATAGAGCCCCAGCATTCAGGTCCTTTCAGGAATCAGTAGAATCTGGGTGGGGTTTACATCTCCAGTTCCATATTAGTAGGCAGGAAGTCATTTTGATGAGCTTCAGTGGCATGTGTTGCTCCTCCAAGGCTTCCTTCAGCCTCACCTGAAAGGRGCACATAGTTCTTGGGCTGAGCTCAGCCATAGCTCAGATGGTGGCTCATCGGGGAAAGTGATTCAGACACTGAGTAGTTCCTCATGCTCTTTCCTGGTCTCCCAAACACTCGRAGAGCAGGCTGCTCCCATGATTTCCCTGCATTTTCTTGAGTGGTAGCTTTGCAGGTAGAGGTGTTAAGACCTGGAGCTATGCTAGTTGCCCACTGCTATCCCTGGATTCACCAGGAGGGATTCGGGGTCCAGTTGCTCTTGAGTTCCAGTAAAAGTCTTAGGGATGATGTCTTAGAGATGAGAGAAARCTGGGAAGAAGGCAGCTATTTCACTTTGTTCTATTGACTGTTATGTTTTCCAGGCTATGGAGCAACAGATCCGAGAGGAACAGCGAATGATGGATGAGAARATAGTCTTGGAATTGGACCAAAAAGTAATTGACCAGCAGAGCACCCTGGAGAAGGCCGGAGTGTCTGGCTTCTACATCACCACCAACCCCCAGGTTGGTGTTTCAGCACAACAGGCGAGGAATTTTGACAAAAACCTGGGGTGTCATGACACCGGAAATGGCTTCCTGCTGCCAGAGGGCAGGRATGRATGGGATATTGGGGAGAAATTCTTCCCTGTGAGTGTGGGGAGGCCCTGGCACAGGGTKCCCAGAGCAGCTCTGGCTGCCCCTGGATCCCCTGAGGTGTCCAAGGCCAGGTTGGACAGAGCTTGGAGCACCCTGGGATAGTGGAAGGTGTCCCTGCCTGTGGTAGGGTTTGGGGATGGATGAGCTTTAAAAATCCCTTCCAATGCAAACCATTCTCTGATTCTGTTTGRCAGTACTCTTGGGCAAATATTTTTAATTTTTTTTTTTTTAAATCTCACCATTAATGAGTTGGGGATGGCTTTGTCAGACAGAACAATCTGTCCTTTGCCTCCCAGCTGGTGGATGGTGTGCCCTGGACAGACCTTGTACTCARTTCATAACAAAAGAGCAGAAACCCAGGTACCACTGGGCTGCATTCCCAACTTGCTGCAGTGTTTTTTCCAATGTCAAGGGAAGAAGCACTGTGCCAGCAGCCTGCAATCCTGTGACTCTCAAATGGGTCTGAAAAACACTAAAAGAATTGATTGCTGCTTGTGTATTCAGCTTAGCTCTAAAAACTGCCTTCAAGGCTATTTATTCGGCACCTTGTTCMTTCTTGCATGTGACTTACTGGAGCTGGTGATCTCAAACTGTGATTAAAGAATTGTTCCCAGTTTCCCCAGTGCATTTGTTCTCAAAACATCTGAACAGTCACCTGGGTTTGTCTACATTGTCCTTGTGCCACCGCAGGAATGAAAAAMCTCAGACTTCCCAAGTCTTGTTGTAAAGCCACACAAGTTTGTAGGGGACATAGAGACAGGCTGTTCTTAACTCTGTTTTTTCAGCTGATTAAATGTCACTTTGGTAAAGACCTACTGCTGAGAAAAGCTGGTTTAAATTAAGCTAAACAGGCATTTTCTAACACCCATCCACATGATTCCCTTGAACAAGCCTCTCATTTTTCAGTGCTTCTATTCCCTGGCTATATAATTCAGGGAGCCCTTTCTCTCCCTCCTGCCCTGTTCTTTATGTTGTTTTTGTAAGTAATAACCCTTATCAGAGTTCCAGTTTGCTGGGTTTGTGTATGTTTGCCTTTAGGATAGGTGCCACACCTGACCCGGATCTTGGCTTGTGCCTGTGAGTGCCACCAAGAAATCCCTGCTGGAATCTGTTCACATGGTTCCCATCAGCTGATGTGTTTCCCCCCCAGTCTGTATGAAATGCCTCCTTGTGCAGAGGATATATTTTTACAAAAACAGATTGCTCTGTGTCTGCAGGGCTGAGTCACAGACATACACTCACGAATTGGCGGCTCYACCATGTTATCTCTGAGCTAGACATAACTGAAGAATAAGCAGATGGCAAAGGAACCATGAGCTGACCTTGGTATCTCCATTTGATTGTGGTCCTGGAATAGGGAGTTTCCCAGGAATGGGAAATGAAATGCCTGTAGGGAATTTGATRCTCCAGCACAGCAATGTGTTGCCTTGCACCTGCCTTGGACCCCACGCAGAGGGTTCCCAAAGTGATCCCTCCTCCTGACCTTCAGCTGGTAAAGGGGCAGGGAGTTGGAGATGCTGATGAAGGATGTGGGGAGGGACCTGAAGAACCTCCTCCGGGGCTACTGCCCCTCCTCAGCCTCCTCAGCAGAACTGGCCAGCCCTCATAGCCCCTGCCATTTATCATGGTCAAGAAGACAGAGCCTCCCTCGATCCTTAAGGAATCCTCAAGCACTGGGATTCCTAAGACAGCCACAGTTTGCAGCAGGTCTGCTAAGACATTACTGTTCCATGTTTTAGAGAAATGCTTAAACAAGATGAAGCCTTTGGTTTTTATTTGCCAACTTTTCTTAAATTCCCTAAGAACAAGTAGCTCTTGAGGAGGTGGTACAGGCCAGTGCTTCCTGCTTCCTGCAGCAGGGAATGGAATCATCTCCTTGCACAAACAAATGTCTCTCCCTTTGCAGGAGCTGACTCTACAGATGAATTTGCTGGAGCTGATTCGGAAGTTGCAGCAGAAGGAAGCTGAGGCTGAGAAGGCTTTTCCCTGAAAGAGCAAATCTGCTGTTCACTTCCCAGAGTTTTTCCTCTGACTTTCCTCTAAATGACAGACTGTCCATGCATTTGCTTTATATTGTGTCAGGAAGAMGCTATGGGAGTAGGAGAAATTGCTGAGGCACTTAGATTAGAGCTGGGGCAGGCAGAGCCTGGCTCAGGGGTGGTTGGGAGCCTGGGGATGGTTCTCTGGTCATCGGAGCAGTGTCAKCTGCATCTGCCTGAGCTGGGAGCTGATGGAGCATGGTCACCTGCCAGCAATGTCCTGCAGCAGCACTGAGGCCATCACTGAGCCTAGGCTGGGCTGAGCACTGAGGCAGCAAACTGAGCCCTGCTGTGTGAGGGTGAYCCTGGGTTTAGATTATATAATTGTGGGGGAAAGAGTTTCAGGGATGCTTCTGTGTGTTCTTGAGGCAAAAACAACCACATAGGCAGACCCTTCGCAGAATCTCCTCCAGGCTGGTACCAGCATTAGCTGTATTAAAGGAGGATTTAAGGCCTCAACCGAGTTACTGGGCTGGTGTTAGCAGTGTTCCCACTCACTTGGAAAGCAGAGAAGCCTCAAGAGCTTTTGTTTTGCCCTTTAAAACCAGTTTCCAAATAAGGAGAAATAAAATACTGCCCACCTTTCTGGGGTTGCAGCTTTCTGAATGCCAGTGGTTGTGTTTGTCCTGTCCTCAGCTGATGAGTGTGGTGCATTAGATGGAAACTGGGAGGAACCTGGAGTGTTTYAGAGAGCTTTCAGGGTGTTGGAAGAACTTGTGGGTGGCCTTATGGTGGGGAGCGGTGGTGGTGGAGGAGACAAACAAGATCAGTGCAAACAAAGATCAATTAGACTTTCAGAAATTCAGGATTGAGGCCCCCTCCCGTTTCCATCATGTGTGGGKTTTTGCTCCCTTTGTGGGTGATGCTGCTGTGGTTCTGCAGCTGGAGACAACCAACTGCTTGTGTGGGGTCTTCACCTCCTGGTTGAAAATCCCTGTCTGGAAAGTGGGCTGGTGTGGGACCTACACCACTTCAGGGTCCCCAGAAACCTCCTGGAACTGTGTTGTCTGTGGACCCTCAGGTGGGAGCTCTGCACTACACTGCTGAAAAAATGGTGAGGGGCAAGGTGAACAACATTSCCCTCTGGAAACACCTTAGTCCTCCTGGGAGGACATAGGGTAACCCCTGGTGCAGACTGGGTAAAGTCCACATCTATGTTCAGGTTTGTGACCAGAGCTGTTAGCACAGAAATTGCTTCCCGAGGTGAGAGTGGGGAAGGCAGGGGTGAGCAGTGGGTTCTATGGCAGGACAGGATGCCCAGACACTGGGGGTCATGCTGCCTCCCAGAAGCTCCCCTTTCCTCCACACAAGCGTTCTGGAATGGCTGGAGGAGCTGGGGTCGAGGTTATTCCACTGGGTTCAGCCCCACTGCACTGCCCCTGTGGGGCAAGGAGCAGAGCCCACCTTGGTCCAGAGCCCCCCATGATCCAGGATTGCTGCTGTGTCTCCAAGGAGAGCCAGTGCTGGGGATCACGGGGGCTGTTCCAGTACTGCCATGACAACAGCAGCTCTCGGGCTTCCTGCTTCCACCATCTGTTTGCAGATGGCTCTGCCAGGCRGCTGATCGAATCCAAGCTGAAATTTTCCATGCCTGTGGTCAGGTTGAATTTCAGAAAGGCTGAGGTGGAGAGCTGCAGGGGGTCAGATGTGGATAACCCGTGGGAARGGTTATCCTAAGGGAGCAAAGTCCCTGGGATGGCTTGTGATCAGGTCAGCAGGATTTCAGCAGAGGAACAATCACTCAGCCCCCCGAAACTGGAGCAATGTGGAGGTTACTGATATTTTCCCAAGCGAGTGTCATTGTGTCACCAGAGGGTGACACCATCCTACAGAATTGCTGTGCCCCAGCCCCTACAGCTGCCAAGGAACAGCTGTTCTGCCAAGTAACATGGGGTAGACCTGGTGAGAGTGACCCAAAAGGGATGGAAGTTCTGCTGGGCTTTGGTTGTCTCAGCTTCATGGTTCAGTGACCTGTGCAGCCCCTAAGCTCTCAACCAGTGTTCCGGGAACATGCATTTGGCTTCAGCCATCCACAGAGCTGGACATAAAGTGCTTGCCCAGGGCTCCACATGTGCCAGAAGTGACGTGGAGAGGGGATGCAACCRGAGGATCAAGTTCCCTGTTCAGGTGCAAGGGGACTGACGTGAGAGCTATGGCTTCATGCCAGCCCCATGTTCACCCAGAAGTTGGTGGAAGGTGAGTGATGGGTGGCAGCATGGGACAAGTCCTGSTTTCTCCTTCCTTTTCCTACATTTTGGGCTGTTGAGACAAAGACYGAGGTTCCCTCCACATAAGGAGGTTGATTGAGTGTGGTTAAAGGTGAATGTGTTGCACTCAAGTGTTGCACTGCGAGCTCTAAGTTGTGGGTGCAACTTGAGGGTGACATTTGGGGTGGTGACTGGGGGGTCCAGGAAAAAGTCAGGTTTAGTAGTTAGGTGCCATCAGAAAATTGGATGAGAATGAGATGGGGATCAGAGTAGAAAATGAAAAACATGCTGCTGTGAAGCAGTAAGTGCAAACCCATTCACCCCAACAAAGGCACAGTAGGGATGGAACAAGCTCTGCAAAGGCCCTGGGGACACCAGGGATCTAGAACACCTTCCAGCTGAACKGGACTCCTTTATCTTTGACAAAGGGCACAAGAGAGAACAGGGTGGAGATAAAACTCTGAGTGACATGGAGAGGGACTCCGCTCTAGGAATAGAGCAGCAGGAGCATTGCAGGGCACCTATTAGAGGCAGGTTTGGGTGGGACTCCTTGGGAAAGCCCTGCCCCAGGGGGCTGGAGAGGCAGAAAGTTTGTGTTGGTTCAAGAGGAGGTGAGGTATTTCTRGAAAAGAAACACCTTTTGACTTAAAAATGGATAGAGGTGATTCCTCTTCATTGCCCGGCAGGGCCAAGTGGAAGCACCGCTGGCTTTTGTTCAGGTTTTGTGCTCTTGTCCAGGCCCTGGCCAGGCAGGACTGTGAGCTGGAGGGGCTTGTTCAGGAGCTCCCTCTCCAGCAGCTTTCCCCACACCTCATTTTCTTCATTACRAACACCTGAGCACAGAGCAGGTGCCTGTCTTTCAGGCAGCAGCTCCAGACCAGAGCCAGTAGAGGGAGAGGAGCAGGGTCTCAGCCCTTTGCTCCATCCAGAACTGCATGCAGTGGATGGGATTTGGGATAACTGYTCCATCACAGAATCACAGAGTGGGTGGGGTTAGAAGGGACTTTGGATTAGGCGCTCATGAGCAGGAACACTTTCCACTCTCCCAGGATTTTCCAAGCCCCGTCCAACCTGACCTTGGACACTTCCAGGGATCCAGGGCTTCCCCACCCTCACAGGGAGGAATTCCTTCCTAATATCCCATCTAATCCTGCCCTCTGGCACTGGAAAGCCATTCCCTGTGTCCTGTCACTGCAGGTCCTTGTCCCAAGTCCCTCTCAAGCTCTCTTGGAACTCGTTTAGACACTGGAAGGGACTCTGATGTCCSCCTGGAGCCTTCTCCAGGCTGAACATCCTCAGCTCTCCCAGCCTGGTTCCAGAGCAACCCAGGGCTCCAACCTTTGGAACATCTCCATGACCACCTCGTATCCCGTTTCGCTCCGTGGGGATGCCCACCCTGGGGCCGTGGGGAACCCACATGTGTCTGCCCCTCCCTGGAGCTGGGGGTGCAGGTGCTCTGCTCCCCGCTCCAGGAAGACACCCCTGGGGATCGGGCCGGCCCCCGCCCGGCCCCCGCCCTTCCGCTGAGCCCGGGGAGGCGGAGCCGAGCGGCAGAGGCGGCGCGGAGCAGGTGAGGCCGGGGCCGGTGCGGGGCCCCCGGCCACCCTCGCAGGTGAGCGACAACCTGGGAGGGTGGGAGCCGGGCTGGGATCGGCACCGTGGGGAGCGTCCCGGGGGAACGCGGCCGCGGWTGAGGCCGGGGCTCGGCGCCGCCCGGAACCGGCGTTGTGGCGGGGCTGAGCAGGGATGAAATTATCGCCTCTCCCCGCCCGGGATGAATCCGGAACCCCCACACACTCTCCTCGATGCGGGGGTCCCCACCCTCGGGGATGCTCCGTGTCCAGTGGGTACCGAGCTCCGCATCCTCCCAGCTGCGCCTGTTGCGTGTGTTGGGATTGGGGACCCCAGTACTGCCGATGCCGCCAGTCTCCGGGACCTGGGTGTGCAAGGAGGGGGGCGTCAGCCAGCACGGAGGGTGCCCGTTGTCCTCATGGGCCATCGTTGGCCCTGTCTTTCCATCATCTCCCAGTGGCCTTTCCAGGACCTTTTGGCCTCTGGGAGGTGGACCTTGGAGCGGGGCTGCACCAGCCTCCGATCAGGACGCATAGTGTACGTGGGTGTGGGGCTTCTGGCACAGGGAGGAGGGCTGCTGGGCAGGGAGAGTGTCCCCAAAGTCTCCAATCGTCCCACGGAGCAGCGGGGAAGCAGCACCTGAAGGTCCCCAGAGCTGTGTCCTCCTCCTGTCATGGTGGCAGCTGCCAGCGTGGCTGGTCCCTTGGCACTGTCTGTTTCTTGGTCTGGCTGGGGACTCCTGTGTCCYCGCGGGAGCTGCTCTGGACTTCCTGCTGCAGCCTCTGCACCATGCCTGAGCTTTCTCTGGGGAAGCAGAAGGATGCTGGGAGCAGGGAGATGCTTCATGCCCCTGTGGGAGTGTCCCGGCACAGCATGGCCAGGTTCAGGTAGATGCTGGATACAGTGAAGAAGAAGCAGCAAGGAAACCTTTGTCAGGGCCAGAGCAGACTGGTTTGGGCTTTAACAGGGAAATGCTGCCCTGGGAGTGCTGTGGTTTGCCTGCCGCCTGGCACACAGGCACATGTCCCTGTCCACCCATGGAGGAGGACAYGCTCTGTGCTGAGGAGTCGGGGATACCTTGATACCAAGGTATCAAGTGCTGGCTTTTCCCCCTGTCCCCAGCACTTGATACCTTGCTGCCAAGGGAATGCTCACCCCTTCCCGCCCCTCTACCAGGTCTCCAGGCAGGCTCTCGCTGCTGAGGACCCCTCACTCTGCCTAGGGCAGGGCCTGCTTCCTCCAGGATGGCGAGATGGCTGCCCCGCTCCACCGACCTGACCCGCTTCTGCCAGAAACTCAACCGGGTGAAGACCCTGGAGGACGACATGATGGAGACATCCTTCAACAGATGCCTTTCCACCATCGACTTGACGCTGCTGGGCATCGGAGGCATGGTGGGCTCCGGGCTGTATGTCCTCACRGGCACTGTGGCCAAGGAGATCGCCGGCCCTGCCGTCATTGTCTCCTTCATTATCGCCGGCTTTGCCTCTCTCCTGGCTGCTCTCTGCTACGCCGAGTTTGGAGCCCGCGTGCCCAAGACAGGCTCTGCCTACATGTTCACCTACGTGTCCGTGGGTGAGATCTGGGCTTTCCTCATTGGCTGGAATGTACTGCTGGAGTACATGATCGGGGGGGCTGCGGTGGCCAGGGCCTGGAGTGGCTACCTGGACTCCATCTTTAACCACAAGATCAAAAACTTCACTGAGACCCACGTGGGTGCCTGGCAGGTGCCATTCCTGGCCCGCTATCCAGACTTCCTGGCGGCTGCCATCCTGCTGGTAGCCACTGCCTTCATCTCCTTTGGGGCCAAAGTGTCCTCCTGGCTCAACCACGTCTTCTCGGCCATCAGCATGGGCGTCATCCTCTTCATCCTCATTATGGGCTTTGTCCTCGCACARCCCAAGAACTGGAGCACCCAGGAGGGTGGCTTTGCCCCATATGGGCTGTCGGGCATCATGGCTGGCACAGCCACCTGCTTCTATGCCTTTGTGGGCTTTGACGTCATTGCAGCCTCCAGTGAAGAGGCCAGGAACCCTCAGAGGGCTGTCCCCAGGGCCATCGCTTTCTCCTTGGGGCTGGCCACTGGCGCCTACATCCTAGTGTCAGTTGTGCTGACGCTGATGGTGCCCTGGCACACMCTGGACCCTGACTCTGCCCTGGCCGATGCGTTCTACAGGAGGGGCTACTCCTGGGCAGGGTTTCTGGTGGCTGCTGGCTCTATCTGTGGTGAGTACAGGCAGCGGTGGGAGGGAGCTGCCCGCTCCCCCTGCCTTGGGGGCTGGGAACACTCCCCCATTTGGGTTTGGGTCTGATGGGGTCTCCTTTCTTCTGCCCATCCCTCAGCAATGAACACAGTTCTGTTGAGCAACCTCTTCTCCCTGCCGCGCATCGTCTACGCCATGGCCGAGGACGGGCTCTTCTTTCAGGTCTTCTCCCGAGTGCACCCCCGCACACAGGTGCCTGTGGTCGGCATCGTGGTCTTCGGGCTGCTCATGGCCTTGCTGGCCCTCRTCTTCGACCTGGAGGCCCTGGTGCAGTTCCTGTCCATCGGCACACTGCTGGCCTACACCTTTGTGGCCGCCAGCATCATCGTCCTGCGCTTCCAGCAGCAGAAGGGGGATGTACCCGTGCCAGCAGCCGGTGGCCGGCCYAACCCCGAGCCCCACGAGGGCCCATCCGGCGGTGAGCTGAAGGAGTATGAGTCCTTCTCTGACAAGCTGCAGCTGGTGGACAGAGACAAGAGCAAAGAGCAGCGGGAGCCAGGRCAGCTGAAGGCAGCATTTGAGCCCTACCTGGAGTTCCTCAGCGACTTCTACCCCGGTGAGGTGGTCACAGTGGCYGTGGTGACCCTGATGGTGTCTGCCATCTGCCTCTGCTCCATCTTGGTGTTTGGCAACACCCACCTCCACCTGCCTACCTGGAGCTACTCCCTGCTGCTGGTCCTCTTCAGTCTGGGCTTCCTGCTCAGCCTCCTCCTCATATGGGCACATGAGCAGCAGCACAGCACCCAGACCTTCCAGGTATGGCCGGAGCCCAGGAAGAGAGTCCCTCTGCAGGGGTGAGGGGAGGTGGGAGCAGCTCTGATGGACCTGTAGAAAGCACCACAACTGCTGAAGGAGGAGGAGGGTGGGGAGGAGGAAGAGGGTGTTGGTGAACACTGGGTATGGGGAGTGTTGGTGCCTCTGCTGTTACTCTGTATGGCCACTGGTCCCCAGGAGAAGATATCCATAGCAGTTCTGTGTYCATCCTCTGCATCCCCACAACTCTTCCGCTCCTCTTCTGCCCCATCTCCTTATTTTGGCTGCCCTTCAGATACATGGTGAAGCTCATTTTCAGCCTCCAAACCACTTCTATGCCTCTCGTGCTCCTCTCTCCTGTTTTCAGCCCACCTGAGCCTGATGTGGTCAGTGAAGCTTCATAACACCAGTGATGACACCACTGCCGTGCCATGCCCCTGCCCTGGTTCCTCCAGCAAGGACCATGTTAGCTCAGGATCATGCTGAGAGCGTGTTTGGTCCTCATGATGATGTCTGGYCCCCACTGCCAGCCTGGCTCCCAGCTCCTGGCTCCATTGTTTCTTTTCCCTAAAAAAAAAGTGCCACTTCTAGAAATCTCAAGATGACAGTCCCTTTGTCCCACATGTTTGTCAGTGCTGTCTTTTGTCCCTATGATTTTAAAGATGGGGAATGTGGTCCTGCAGGTCTCACCCCTGCCTGCTCCTTTTCTCCTGCAGATTCCRCTGGTACCCCTGTCGCCAGCACTGAGCATCATCCTCAACATTTACCTGATGCTGAAGCTCAGTTACATGACGTGGCTCCGCTTTGCCATCTGGCTCCTCTTAGGTGAGTGCTCCCATGGCTGCTTGGGGAAGGGGGAACAGGGCTTGTCTTGGCACCCTCTGTCTGCTTTGGCAGCTCCTCTCCCCACTTATGGGTCTGTAAAGTGTACCCTGCTCTTTTCCACCTCTGATTCCCCTTTGGAGATGCATGCCGAGGTCTCCCAGCATCTCCTGAGCCTCTCTGTTTCCTGGAGCATTACAGCTCCCTCCTGTTAAAGTTCAGAGCCTCCTTCAAGCCCTGGGCCCAAACCATCCCCTGCTCTTGAGGCAGCTCCCTGGGGCTCAGGAAGTCCTTCCCTTTCCCAGAGACTGAGGGTGCTCTCTTTGCTACCATGCTGCAGGACCCTTTTCCTCCTGCAAGCAGCTTGGTTAAATTCCTGTGGTGCTTTGGCTTGTTGCTCTGCCAAGTAGCCAGCCACATGGGTGCCACATTCCACTGTGATGCCAGCCATGACGGTGCCAGCAGCCAGGCTGTGCTGAAGCCACTGCTGTCCCTGTCTCTKCTGCAGGCCTGCTCGTCTACTTTGGCTACGGCATCTGGCACAGCAAGGAGAACCTGCGGGAGCCACGGCCCCAGCGCRTCAGCGCCCGCTACGTGGTGTTCCCGGGTGGCAGCCTGGAGGAGAGGGTGCAGGCAGTCCAGCCCAGCTCGCAGGCAGCCTCCGGCCTGCCCGACACCGACACCGAYGACTGCAAGAGATGACAGCCCTGGGAACAGGGGCGCCTGGAGATGGGAGCATCGGAATCCCCTCCCACAGTGAGGCCTTAGAGCCATCCCCCTCCTGGTCCTTCTGACAGCAGAGCCGCTGGGGCTGCCCTGGGAGTGGCGCTCCATCTGGAGAGGATGMGGATGCTCGCCCTTCCCTGTGTGCTCCCGACAGAGCATGGAGGGGCCAGCTGCCTCCATCCCCATCCCCCGCACTCGGGAGCTGGGTCTCAGGCCAGTGCCTGCCCTGCTCWTGAGGAGCCGTGTCCTTGTCACCTCTGCCTGAGCACACCGTGGCACTGTGCAGCACATCTCCTGTCTGCCAGCACATCCAAGCAGCCGGGGATGCAGAGGCTCCCCAGGGACCGGGACAGGCAGCCCAACGCTGCCTATCCTGACCYTCGTCCTGACTGCAGCCCCTCTGCCTCCTGCGGAGTCCCTTTCGGAAGGAGGCAGGGGCCAGTCACGCATCCCCACAGGCACCCCCGCCATCCCCATCCCCAGGGCTGCTCTCCTCAAAGGCTGGGGCTGAGGGGGCTGAGGGACAGCTGCAGACATGACATGGAGAAGGGATGTGGCCAGAGTGGGTGGCTGGGCAGGGACCCCAGGAAAACCAGTGGAGGYTGGCACGGCAGCAGCCCAACTGCATCTTCCCAGCCGCTGGAATTGGCTGCCTGAGGGTGGGCTGGGGCCCTGCCTGCTGCAAGACAATGCCATGGCCAGGCTCCTGCCTCAGCCCTGAGCAGGGTATCCGCTCTCAGGAGTCCAGGTATGTTGCCTTGTCCCTGGAGATCCCCAGTAGCATCACTGGGCTGATATGCCTGGAGCTCCCCACTTCTACATCCCAGCAGCACCACCTGCCCCACCATGGGGAGCTCAGCCCTCCAGGATGCCCCTTCTGGGCTCTCTGGGGCTTGGGACAGGCTCAGTAGGTGCTTTTCAGTATTGCCCCCTCCCCAGCAATCATYCCTGTGCTCTGGGGTCATCCCAGCTGCAAGGGCGTCATGGGAGGGTCCCCAGCAGCACTGCTGCAGCCACCCCTGGYTGTTTTCCCTGTGGGCAGCCTAAAGTGGAAGGGAAGAGGACTTCAACATGTTTTGGAAGCCAGTTGAGCGTAAGGTTGCCAACCTGATAGACCTTGCAGCATGGACACCCTGGTCCATCCTAATCCTCTGCATGCTGCGATGAGCTGGGGACTGTGGGCAAGCTAGTCCATTACTCCTTGCTGGCCAGTCCCTGGAGGGCCCTRGAGAGGCTGTGGGGACCCTCAGTAGGATACGCTGGCTCCTGGTGAACCCATACTGTCTGCCAGCATCTCTCTGTGTCCTGCCTCGTCCCTGCATTGCTGCTGCCAGAGCTGTGACCCCGCTTGGCACCTCTGTGTCGTGGCTTGTGAGCAATGGGCTGATTTGGTCACCCTTATAAACACTGTTTCTGTGATGGCTCTGGCTGGTTGTGCTCTCTGTGTCCCCAAGACTCAAGGTRGGAAGCTGGTCCCCAGCCAGTGGGGAGAGGGGGGATTGTGCTGYCCACTGCCACCATGCGTCCACTGGGGTTCCAGTCACAAGGACAAGCTCCAGCCAGACCCACAGAAACCAGGACCCCACGGGGCTGGGGTAGGCTGGGATTTGAGCCTTACAATACACAAATACCCTGATAGTGACCCAGATGGGAGTGAACACTCCTGTGAGCAGCGAGGATGGTGCTGASCAGCACCAGGACAGAGTTATTAAAGCTGCCCAAGGTTAAGACCTAAACGGATGGGAAAAGTTTGTAATTAATGGGAATTAAAGGATAACATGCAGATACTCCCATCCCCACACTGCTGTTCTCTAGGGAAATGTCCTTCCTGAGATAACMGAGTCCTTCTTCATTAAAAAGCAAGTGTTCAACAGGCACCTGGGGAGGCAGAGGCTTAATCCTCCTTAGCAATTCAGCTTTAATCTTGGTCATAAATCCATTGTCAGCAGGACAAAGACATGTAAAAAGATTCTCAGGGACATGGGAGGAGAAGGGAGCCCAGCACAGGGCTGGGGAAGGGCAGGAAAGTCCTCACAGAGAGGGAGTGGCTGAAGGTGGCTTTAATGTTCCCCTGTGGAGGAAAGTCGGTGGCAGTCACATCTCTCAGATCTCCTAGCAGGGGTCTCCATCAGCCTTTTAAGCTGCAAAAGACCAAAGAATTGTTGAACGAGTCTCGTAACCATTGATATTTAAACTATTTTAAAATATTAATTTGTAAAATTTCACAGAAGTCCCTGTTGGGCTGTGGCACACAAAGCACRGCATCCTCTCCCAGCAGAGCAGGGGGTGTCAGGGATGCAGCCCGCAGGATATTAAAGGATTGAAGAGTAATTCCCAGGCGCCTGAGAGGCCAGTGGGGCCTCTTGAGCACACTTGTGGGGCTTTTTTTAATAGRATTACAAAATTAGTCAGTTCATGTCTCATAAACCATCCCACTGCAGTAACATGCTCTGCACAGAACATGTATGAATTGTATTTTAATTGACTACTCATTAATGCACACAGGAAAAAAGGGGAATGGCAGCAGCCACTGACACCCAGACAGCCCTTCTACAGGAATTTGTTCCTGAAAATTGTATCAGCAGAGAAAAGAAAATAAAACCAAACTAAACAGCATCAGCAGGGTTTTGAGATRGCAGCCTGTAATTGTAAGAGAAAACAAAAGTTCCCCATCCATACCCCCAATTCCAAACAGATTTAAAACAMAATAATTCCCGTGTGCACCTCCCAGAGCCCTGTTTCATGGAGCTCTAAGAGCAGCCATTTGCTACATCCCTGTGGCTGATGATACACCTGTTTTCCASAGCAGCATCTTTCTCAAAATTAGCTTGAAAATATAAATAAAGTCTTATTTTCTGGGAGCCGTGGTAATGGTGTAATCAGTCTGCAGGAAATCAGTCTAATTTCAGAGCGGCAGGGAAGTATGTGGGTCAGTGCTGGAGTGGCCAGTGCTGAGGCTCCAGGAACAGGGAAGGRCTTTATGGGCCATGGGGCAGGAGCAGCTCTGACGCACATGCTCGGGACTGGGCTAAGAGGGTTAATGTGAGTCCTGGATGATAATCCCCACAGACAGCATGGGAGTGAGCCAGGGATGCCTGAGCCTCACCACTGATGCTGCTGGGCTGGGATGACTGGGGCAGTAGTTGGCAGGGCAGTGCTGGTTTGTTGTTCCCTGGGAGGATGGTTCCCATAAGACAGCTGCAGCAGGATGAGGAGAAATGCAGATCCAGGGGGGAATAACATGGGATTTGTCCTGGAGAGAAAATCAATGCTGGGGMTGCCACCCTCCCCCTTTAAATGACAGTGAGTGACTAAGCTGTGGCCCTTGGTCCCAGGTGCACCTCAGAGATGCTCCAGGGATGGACACAAGGACTGAGCCAATGATGATTTTGGAGGATTCYGGACACAGAATCACTGCTGCTGCCCATGAAGCCCCAGGGATGGGAGCTGTGAGAGCTGTAGAGATCCCTGGGCTCTGAGAGTTCTTACAGAGATCACTGGGCTGTGGGAGCTTTTACAGGGATCACTGGACTGTGAAACCTATGGGGATTGCTGGGCTCTTGCTTGGGGAAGCACAGGGGAGCAGGAGTCACAGATGCACAGTTTTACAACTAGAATAAGCAGTCACTGACCCACTTGCATAGCTGAGCCCTGTCCATGCTGGARGGAGGAAAAGGGGAGCCCTGAGCACTGGAAGGGGGTGGTGGGCTGGCACCCAGGAGAGAGCAGCTTCCATGTCCTAATTAAATCACTTCTCAGCTTCGTGTTCCTAAATTATCCCTCCCTGCTTCTCCCTCCCCGGCTCTGAAAGCAGCACAGATGAGCTGCAGGGCTCAGGGAGRCTGGCTGTAAGTAATCCTCTCATTATCCTGCCATGCTCCCCTCCTCCTCCTGCAGACACAGCCTGAGGATGAGGTAAGCATCACGCAGCATTCCAGGATGCCAGTAGTGGTGTATCTGCTCCTGTCACCGGCTGGGGAACGCCAGGCTATTAAAAGATGGCACAGAGCAAGGTGATCATCTTGTCCCCTCGTCCCTCCACGATGTGCCAGTGATTTGGCACACAGGTCCCCAGGCCGTTCCCAGGGTGTTTGTGCTGTGTCTCAGCAGTCCTTCCAGCCAYGGCTTTTCCCTGTCTCAGCACTTTCCAAGAGCTGTGTGAGCAAGGGCACAAGTGGCACAGCCCCGTCCCTGTGGCAGAGGCTCCGTTCCAATACCAGATGCATCCACTGCATCTGCTTTGGGGGCAAGGGAGGACACAGCCATTTCCCACATGTAACACACCACACAGACACAAAACTGCAGCTACCGGCCTCAATGAGCTTAGAAGATTTTTCCAACCTTACAGATTCTGTAAAGGGGGAATAAATCTTCCCCACATACACAGGAGACACAGAATGAAGCAGTGGACTGAAACTGCCATGAGGGAGATTTAGGCAGGAGACCAGAAACACTTCCTGAGGCAATGATGGTTTGGCCTGAGGTTGTGAAAATGTCYGGCAAATGCTGGCAGGAAGGAGCTGCAGTGAGCAGCTCCTACGGAGCCAGGATGGCTAATTTCTCATGATCCCTTGCTAAGCTGGAAGCATTCTAGGGCAGCACTGGGGGCTCTAATCCTTACTGGGGCAAGAGCCAATCCATCTCTGGGCATGGCAGTCCACTCAAGATAGTGCTCAACAAAAACACTTGGAAAATACAAAACCCTCTTTTCTGCGCACAGGTAGCAGCTGGAGCCACGCTGGGGGTTCCACTGCCCAGCCCTGCCTCCAAAGTTACTAGCTGCTACAGCTAGAATTTTGGGATCACCTGTGTAATGTACACCAGAGAAGTTTCCCGTGGAATCAGGCAGTGATCTTCCTTGGACTGGTAATGGTCATTTTCCAGAAAGAGTCAGGCAGCTGGAGCAGTGCCAGAGTGCTGCAGCAAAACAAGCTAGCAGATCTTTCAAAAAGGTGATGGAGGATGAGGACAGTCAAGGCCTCAAAAGGTCACTAAGCGAAGTGAGAGCTACTCAAGAATTCTGGAAAAAATACMATTAGTGGTAATCAGTGTGGATTTGTGTTACCTCTGTGCTCTGACTGGGGCAGGACCTGGAAAGAGGCATCAGTGCTGGTATGCCATAATACCTTCATGAGGCATCCAACTGCTATCTGGCACTTTTGCAAAGAAACCAAAAAGGAATAATATGGAATTGACACTTGAACACAAAAAATACAAAAGCTCAGTACTAGAACCATTGAATCCCTTGGGAATAGGGATTCAACAAGTCTTCTGGTGAGTTATTCCAAGATTAGTTCCCAACAGAGAGAGAACACAACTGAGTTTGAGGAAAGAGGAACAGTGATTCCAGCTCAGGATATCAGCAGGGAATTGTTATTACAGTATAACAGAATTACAGTTTTCAGAGTAACTCCCTACATGTTAATTCCTCACAGCCTTTGGCAGCAGCTGCCAAAGCACAGTAAATCCCTCCAACTTCACACAGAAACCTCCAGACCAGCTCCGGCTGCCTGCTTCTGCTACTCCTGGCAGCCCTCCAGGAAGGCAGACCCCACCTGGGCACAGGGCAGACTTGTGCTCAGTGCCCCTCAGCACTCATCAAACCCATCAAACCCACTCATCACCTCATCAAACCCACTGGACAATGGGATACTCAAGGTCCATGTCGCAGTGACATTGCCCAGTATAACACTGCTGTTCTGTTGATTGGTTTATTGAGCCTAAAACCACCCAGCTCTAACTCCAGTAACAAACAAATCCATGTGTGTCAAAACATAGGCAAGTGGATCTTCTCCAGCTGAATAAGGACAGACTTGGGATGTATTGTTTCACAGGATTTTAATTTGCATCTCTTGTTTGGAGAGCACAGGAAAGGCTGGGGCAAAGGACATAACAGAAGCAATAAATGGTGAAAACTATTTTTAAATGTAAGTACTTACACTGAATTAAATAAACCCCCATAAAACTTCCATGTTCAATACACAAAGTTTTTATCTGGAGATTGAGGGGGTATTGAGATTGGATGGTTCTGATATTTTTAGAGACAGCCCAGATTTAAAGACTGCAGTCAATATTTACAACATACAAATGCTTTGGACAGACAGTCCTGAGACCAAAGCACAGGTTTGATTTATTAGTCACACAATTGTAAAATGATTTGCACATTTATAGGACATACCTCACTAGGTAAATCATAGCATTATTTTCAAATAAAGAAGATAAACTTTATAGAATCACAGAGTMATTTAGGTTGRAAAAGATCTCTAAGACCATTAACTCAGCACTGCCAACTGACCACTAACCACAACCATGGGGTTCCTTTCAGCCTCAGAGACTGGATAAATTGTGGGTTTTTATTTTGTTGACTAATATTTTAGTAGAACAAAAACAATATATAGACTACAAAACAATTTCTGTATTGATTTATCAATAAGAAATTAAAATATATTCAAAATATTCATCACAGTAATTTTCACTCTCAAAAGGGAAAAACTAGAAACAGAAAAATGAAAACATATGTGATATGTCCATAGATACCGAACCATTTCTCTCTTTTATTTCCAAGGTCTGTATGATCCTGGGTCATAGATGGCTCTTGGACAGGCACAGGCACAAGGCCAACAGCACATCAGCGTCACGTGAGCTCTCACAGTTTAAAAACAGGAGTGAAAACAATTCCCTTCTCCTTTGGCAGAGGCAGCTRCCCTTGGCTATGGAAATGGTTCCAGCTGATTCTAAGTTTAATCCAGTGTTTTCTATCATAGCCAGTCAAAAAATCTCCCCTAGGAAAAAAAAAACCCATGAAATCAAACAGTTTAAGAGTTAAAAGGAAGCTTCAGATACTTCTCTGCAACTGCCTATATTACCTTTAGGCCATTAAAACTACAATATATTACTTCTTTTTCTCCCTCATTACCACAAGCCCAAAGCAGAAGCCGCCAGGCAGTGAAGCATCTGTGTTCTTCAACCTCAGGTTACCAAGACAGCAAAGAGGGACTGAAAATCCAATCCCCATGACACAGCAAGGGGCTGGTGCTCAGGGTGCAGCTGTGACTGTCCCACTCCTTCTCCAGCTGCTGAAGCCTGAAAGCCTATACTGAGCAGCCAGGGGGCTCCCAGAGCTTCCCGGTCCTGGAACCCCTTCCAGAGCCACAAGAAAACCGAATGGGTTTGCTCAGCAAGTGTTCTGTGAATTTCCAGTGGGGCAGGAAAAAAAATGAGGATGTCAAACCAGCACATAAGAAAAGGAAACTGTCCCGGCTTGAAGACCAGGCAGCTGAGGAGAACTGTTGGACTGTAGAAGGAGCAGGAGGTGAGGAGGACAGGGGTGATGGCAAGCAGCCTCTGTAGCCTTCAAAGGTAAACACAAGGAGAAGATGCAGCATGGAACTGGGAAGGAACCAAGTGGATGTCTAGGGTTTTCCTGGTGGCCAGAAGCAGCTAGGATTAAGGTTGTTCTCTTTCCTGTGAGCCAGAGAAGCCCACTGAAGACATGAAGGACATTCAAGGAGGAGGCTAGAGGAGGKGAGATGTGTGAGGACTGAGGGTTGTAAAGCAGAGGATGTTGAATTTTCCGTGAAAAACACCACCCGGGGAGAATWTGGATCAGGCACACAGCATGGGATGTGGCATGGCAGAAAAAAATCAGTATCTGCCTTTCTGAGTATGTATCCATCAAAGCACTGCTGGAAGCAGAAGGATTTGGAGCACAGCTGTAGGGTGAGACCAGGAATAGGGAGATCTGCAAATCTTCATCCTGGAGATAGACMCAGCTAGGAATGCCCAAAGACAGCTGTAAATGGGGAAGGTGAGGCCTGTGCCAGGAAGGTGCAAAAAAGAACCTAAAGGTTGGA